TCTGTCTAATCTATCTAGTATAATATGGATGAGGTATGTTTACCTCAGCATCTGAAATTCCTGACTTTAGTAGTATTGGAGTTCTACTCTCAATCAATCCGTATACTTAATGACTTTTTCCTTAAATCTCATTCCCCTCAGAATGAGGGGAGGCTCCATACCTTAAATGTAGAAGAGCAATGGCTTTTTACTTGGACATGAATAGATAATCATCCCAGCTTTTTGTTTGAGGGCACATCTTTGCTCACCCCACCATACATTGACGTTCTGCTGTTAAATCAAACAGGTCTAGTATAGACCCATAAATCTAACAGTGAGGGCAGCTCTGGCTTGTGTTTGTACTCCTCGCAGTCACAAGAAGTAAGGGAAGCAATGGGGATGGTGTCAAGCTTGGCTTAAGGTAAGCAGACTCTAGCTATGTATTCTACATAACTGGAGTTGCATACCTTAAACCGACCTTCCAGTTCTATTGTAGACCTGGCCTCAGTTGTGGGCATGATGCCTTTTTAATCTCAATGCAGAGGATTGCATCCTGGATTTTGTCCTGCACATGTCTGAGATATGACATTGCCAAAATACCCTCTCCAAGCAGTGTAGTAGCTCAAGCAACTTGTGCAACTTTTTTTGTGCAACTTTATAGCAGACCTTTTGTAGAGCTGCAATTAAAAGTCATTGGTGCATACTTTTATTACTCATCATTACACTGTATCTCAGCATTCTGGATATGATGGCGTATTTAGATGAGTAGTTCTCCAGTACTTGTTATTGTAGTCTCTCTGATTTTAACTACTTGTGAGTCACCTGAAGTGGAATGGATATGTGCAATCAACTGAAGGAAAAATGCTTACTAACCTGTTTTGTAACTGGTTTTTTAGATGTATTACACATGTCTATTCAGTGACCCAGCTTCCCATCTTGCAGAGTCTGTTCAGTAAGTAGGAACTGAGAAGGAGGGTCTGAGGTGGCACCACTCTTTACACCATTGTGCAGCAGCATGAGGAAGTGGAGGGCATATGCACCACTCTGATGGGTACCACTTAAGGGAAACAATTCTGATTCTCAGTTGGCATGCACACATTTGGAATGGAATAGATTTCTGTAATTCATTTTGAAAGCAACAGTTACAGAACAGGTTAGTAGTTGTTTTTTTTTAACCAGTTAATCATTTCAGATTGTGAAGAAAGAAGAATCACAGAAGTGAAGAGTGAATCATAGAAGTCCCGTTAGGGTTGTCCCTTGGTGTGGTGATCATGCCACTGATACCCGCCTTCTGGCTCCCCATTACTCTGTCCTGATGGGCCAGATCCTCTGGTCTTCCCCAGCCAAGGCACAGTGTTAGGGTCACTGTCCCCTTGCAGAGCAACACACACTGAACCAGTTCACCTCAGCTGTCAGGGTTCAGCATCCAGGAAACCAATCCCCAAAAGATACTGAAACCCCAAATAAATCTATTTTATCCTGTGTAAAAGTTTTACACAGAGAAAGCTTATAAGGTCAGCCCCCTTTATCCATGAAAGAGAGGTATGCACAGTGGTTGCTTTTGCTTGCCTCCCCTCCCCAAGTAACAGTTATTTACACTATGCTTGTTAATAAAATACACTTTTGTTTATTAAGTAGGATTTTAAGTGGTTGCGAGTGAAAAGTCAGATCAAAGTAGGTTGGTAAATTAAAATGAACAAAAAATGCTTAGCTAGTTTTAATCCACTAAGAAACATGTTACCTGCAAATTCTTATCCGTGATAGGAACAGCTGTTTAGGATAAAGAACTTCAAGTCAGAATTGATTTTTATTCTTACTTTGGGTCTATGGCTTCTTCAAAGTTCTTTCTATCCTCCTAGGGTATGCTTGGCAGCTTCAAAGGTCAGCTAAAGACAAACAACTGATGGCTTCTCATTGCTTAAATAGACTTTTCTCCAGAGCAGTAATTCTGTTTGACATCCGCCATCCCATGGAAGAATACTAGGTTCAAGATGCATTCTGGAACCAGCTGGCCTGATCATGTGTATTTTTAGGACCAACCACAGTTTGGGCTTGCAGGACAAACTTGACCATCCACAGGCTGTTGGTTTGAGTACTGAGTCATTAAAGTACCTAAAGTATCACTAATGGCCCTCATTATCACCTTTAGAACTATAAACAGATTTATATTTCATATTTCTAACTTGCATACAAGAATGATACATGAACAAAAATAAGATATACAGATTCAGCAGATTGTAACTGTTAAATCAATATGTGACGTGACTTGTTTTACATAAAGCTTCTTCGAGTTACGCATATTCATATTCAAAGCCAGTTTTATTAAAGCATGAGGGAGCTGTGACAGGAACGTTAGCTTTTATATTATAAGTAGACAGTCAGACTTTGGGCTTATCTTTACTACATGGTGGATTGATGCTGTAGCAATCTGTCCTCCGATGGTCAATTTATCGCATCCACTTAAATGTGATAAATCGATCTCCAAGCACTTTCCTGTTCACTTTGGTACTACTACAGGATGAGCAGAGTAGCTGGAGTCAACAGGAGAGCAGCCGCTGCCAACTTTACCACATTGAAGACACGGTAAATATGCTGACTTCAGCCTATTTGAGTAGCTGAAGTTGCATAAGGTAGCTCGATGGAGGCGTTTAATGTAGACAAGGCCTTAGTATCTATAGCCTTGGAAGAAAATTACCTGCACATGTTATAGTTCCTAGTCACTACTGGTACTGTGGAATCTGCTTAACTTTAGCAGTGGTGACAATTCTTTAGCTTGGTGAAATCTCTATGAATCTATATCAAGAGCGTTGGTTATAGCAGAGGCAGTGTCTGGATGGAAAGGAGAGTGAAGCACTAAAGAAGAAATTTTTCTGTTGTGTCCTACAGTAGGGTTAGAAGAATTACAGTTAATAAGCTCTTTCTAATTATTAAGTAGAAACACTAAAAAAGAAAATTGCTGGGGTTGCTGATTATGTAGTAGTGTGAGGCCTTAAAATAAATTAGGACTTATGTCTGATTCTCTTAATTTAAAAATTACTGGAGAGAAGGAAGAAAACTAGGCTAACTTACTACAAATGGTGCTGGAACATAAAAGACTTGATTCATGAATGTCTCCTGCATTGCCTGCCAGGTTCATTTTGCGTAATGCCCATGAAGACCTTCTCTTAGGATATGTCTACACAGCAGCGTTATTTTGGAATAACTGAAATTATTCTGAAATAACAAGTATGCATCTTCACTACAAGCCTTTATTTTGAAATAATGTCGAGCTGGAGGATTTCTTACTCTGACTCATGGTAACCATCATTTCACAAGGAGTAAGGGAAGTCAAAGGAAGTCAAAAGAAGAGTGTTCTTCCTTTGACTTCCTGCTGTGTAGACTGTGCCAAAAGCCAAATTAAGCTATTTTGACTTAACTGACATAGCTGATTTGTGTAGCTTAATACGACTTTAGCCCTGCTGTGTAGAAGTCCTCGTCTCCATCCTGGCCTGATGGCTCAGGTTATGGTCTGGTTTAAGAATAGGCTTTATTAAATCTGGAATATTCATCAGAAACACACAAATTCACTCTTGACTAGGGATATTAAATTTCGATTTATTGAATAGTTGATTAACCCGATTAATTCTTATTGGTTAACTATTCTATAGTCCCCAGGGACCAGGCTGGCAGCCAGTGTGCTCCAGCCCCACTCCCAAGGAGGCCCTGCTACTCTGCGCTGCTATCTTTGTATCAGAGGCAGCAGCGTGGGGTGCCAGGTGGGAGCTGGACCACGAAGGGAGCCAGTTTAAAAACCAGCTCCCTTAGACTGGTTGCCTGTTGCTCTGATACAGAGGCAGCAGTGTGGGGTGGCAGCAGCCTCTGTCTGGGGGCAGGGCTGAGCTCCTGGACACAGCGTGAGCCGGAACTGTGCCAGGCGGCCTGCCCGCCTGGCTCCTAATACACTTCGAATGCAAAGCCACAGTGGGCATAGGTCCTGGATCTGGCATGAGACAGGACTGAGCTGTGCTGCTGGCCAGCCTGCTAAAATATTTACTGGTGGGGGAGGGAAATTTGTGTAGTATATAGCATTAACCTATAAGCTTTTGCTTATTGGTTAACCAACTACACTATTACATCCCTACTGTTGACTTGACTTGGTTAAATCACTTAACTTCTTTTGTTTTTCCCTATGTAAAATATGGATAAATGCTTGTTTGTTATGGGTGGTCTGAGACTTGCTTAGCTTTTGCAATACACTTTTTCAGGTCTTTTGGCAAGTTCTCTAGAAGTGAAAAATAGAAGAACATATCAATATAGCATTTTAAAGCATGGATTTTGCAGCCGTAAATACCGACTCTGATGTATTCTTTGAATTTTAAACATCTGTATGCGTTCATAGATCTTGGTGGGCAGACAGACAAACTTGCAGTTATGCTTGTAGTGTCTGTTCTAAAAATGCAGCTGAATATATTTACCAAATGGAAGGCAAAATCAGGTTATAGTTATATTTCTAATAGTGTCTTGTAAGAAAAACTTGTTTATAATTTCTGTCTAGTTTACTGTCCTGTAGTTTTCCTGAATCATCTTATTTTAGTGTAATCTTTATGCAGGTAGGCTACTTTTTCATTAAAAAAAATCTGATCTGTCTAGTCGTTTGTCATGTAGTTTAGATTGGCTCCTCTGATTAAATATACAATTTTAAAAAATTACTGTCTGTGTGCAGTTTATGTAAAAATGCTACTTCCAATACAATAATTTTGGTAGACTGAATGAAGAACCTATTCCCTTTTTATTTTTTAAAAATAAAATGTAGACTCCCTTTTTTGGATGCTGAATCCTAGCAAAGGCTTTGGTTTGAACACTTATTTATGTAAACGTAATACATTGACAAATGTATAATAGAGTGTGGCATTAAGTAGTTAGTACAAAGTAGTAATAAACTAAGCATAGCATATAGGAATTTGGCATTGTTGTGTTTTTGAGAAGTGTAACCTTTAAATCTACATAAACTTCTCTGCCTTTTACTTCTGCTGTGTTCGTAGATTCCAGAAGGGCTTCGTGTATGGAGTTCCTGCCTTGGAGGTAGCAGAATATTCAGCAGAAGGTAAAGAGGAGTGCTGCCTTCTGGTGTCATTGTATGTTTGCTGGCGTGCCTGGCATTGTGTGGTGATCTGTTAGAGAGAGAACCATACAACAAAAAATGCAGTGGTCTTGAGAAATGTGGTTTGGACAGTGACATCATGATAATCTAAACTTTGCATAAAATTATTTGCATAAATTAAAGTTCCAGGTGGGACAGTGAAGCACTTTAAATGCTTCTTTTCTTAAAACTGAAGCAGTTAGATCTTCTTATTTGCAAGACTAAAAATAGAGAAAAAGTGCTAAGTACATTTTTTGAAGGATATCTGTTATGCTTACCATGAGATACTCTCTGCTTGTCCTAACTCCTGTTCTGTTATGTAGGAAAGCCTGCCACTTTTTCCAGGAGTGGGCTGAATACTTCAGATGTGGCCCATATTTCTCACCTACATTGAATGTGGATTTATTTACATCTTGAGGACTGTGACCTTTCATCTCCATCTGTGTCTCAATCAAGTTCCATACCCCTAGTTCTGTTTTCAAGCCTTTTTACCCACTAAATACATTAGTACTTCTTTAGCCAGAGCTTGAGTTCTCTTGTGATTTTTTTTCTGGTGAGGCTGCCATCAACTAATTAATGTCTTGGCTGTTAGCTTCCAGGAAAGATGGAAGTTGCTGATCCACAGTTGTAACTACTGTACATGAAAGACACAGATTATTCTCTTTCTATATAGAAAGAATAATGATCTTTGTCTCATTAGATGTAGCTCTGAGAGCTATGTGATTAAACAGGTATTGACACCTTTGGGGAAAAAATAATTATAGGATGCAGTCCTTTAAAGTAGAGCTTTTTTTCAAATTTTGGTTGCTAGGATTACCTGATGAAAGAGCCATCTTAATGTCTTGAAGCTCCCAGAAAGTAAAAAAAATAATGTTTTATTTCTTTTATTTTACAGCCCACTACGGCCTTCAAATTGTTATAAGCTCTATTGCTGTCTGCCTTTGCTTTGTCTTGAATTTTATACTGAAAGCAAATGTTGTGGACTTTTTTCTACATCATCTATGTGTAATGTGATTAAGATCTTTCCTAAAATGATTATCACTTTAGCCACCTAAGCTTTGTTCTGGTTGTGTCTTTTGCTTCCATATTTTCGTAAACCCCGGAACATAAGTTTCTGGCATGTCTTCCTCTTTATGTTCTGATTTTTAGATTTTTAAAAGGTAGTACACTTGATAGGCATTCCTCAAGAATATAGTTTAATAAAAACTTAAGTATGTTCTTCCTAGGTGTGATATTCCATTAGCAATGAATCCCACTACCACCTCCACACCACAGGTATGCCTGTCCATGCTGGTAGTGGCACTTGAATGAGGCCAATAAAGGGGAGTTCAAGGGCAGAATGCTGCGAGGCATTGCAATGATTGGGTACTCCCTGTATGCTCTGGATCATAGGTCTCTTCACAGCCAGACTGTTTTCACACCACCCTATAGGGGAAGACAGGGAGTGACATCAGAACATGTGACTTTATGGATCCATCAGTCATTCCTTCCTTCTGAAACACTGACCCACACTAGCAACTGTTGAGCCATGTTGCTGCTGCTCTGCCACTCTTCACATGGGGAGGATTCTTCCCTTCCCCAGCCTGCATGGAACTACTTAACAAAGAGCTCAGCTGCTCTGCCTGTGTTTTGACATGAACATTTGCTTCTAAATGCTTTGTCTGGTCTTGTTTAAAATGTTTAAAATGATGGGAGTCTTCTGCCACTTCATGGAAGTGGTTATTTAACAGTTTGAGGTCAGATTTTTCGAAGTGTTGGCTTTGACAGACTAAATTTTCTTTTCATTTCATCTCATTCTTGTTGTACCTCTCTGTCTTAGGTAATTCTGTTTGTTGTTTCCATTTTTATATGTTAGTAGGTGGGTGGAATCAATTCTCTTCAATCATTTAACAAAACTGTAAACTTTTCATCACTCCATTGCACCACATCCACTATGAAAATGCTTTTTAACCCCCATTCTCACACAAACTTTCAGCTATCCTTGAAAAAACTATTTTGTCACTTTTCTTCCAAACTCTTTGCTTATTAAAAAAAGTTGTATTTTATCCATTTACTCTACTTTTTTGCTTTTGTTGCACTTAGCATCATTTTGAGATGTTCCAAATTTTCTTCTGTACCTGATATTTTATACTTTGTAAATGAATATTATCTTTAATCTATGGATTCAGACGTTTAACATCTTTTGAAGTGTTAAGACGATTGCTTAAGCATGTATTGCCAGCCTTCTCTCGCAGCTTAAATTCATATCTGGAAACAGTTTTGAGGTTTGAAGAATTAGGGCTGTTAGCTATGTTAGTACTATGGATTTACTGGATTGTAAGAAGGCAGAGTGAAACTATATCAAAGCCACTACTTAAGTAGCTGAACTTGTTCCTTATTTACCTGGCACAGTTACATTTCCTAATATAACAAATAAGGAATTTCTGAGAAGTGAACAAAGGAAAGACTTGACTTCTTCAGACATTCCATTTGGAGACAAGAGTAGGAAATCTGGTATCATTCAGTTGGCACAGTGACTGAAAGTATTTGGCATTGGGAGATAACCATCAGTAGCTGTAGAAACATTGGGGAAAACCTTGTTTTACGATGTCTACAATACTGCTGTGTGTGACATAATGTTGGCAACAGACCTCTGGTGGGTACATAATTATAAGTCTATATCCAGGAACTTGCCTAGACAGGCATTTCCCCTGTGATCACTATTTTCATGGTATTTCATTGAAAGGGGCTGTGTGTGGTTTTCTGCCAAAATCTAAGAACCCGTTGGTTGTCATGTTTATTGTGGGATATATGTATGGAAAATATTTTATGTTCCAAAGCTGTTGGAAGTGAAACTGGTCAGTTGGGGCAAGATGTTCTCAGAGCCAACTCAATCCAAAATGAAAACAATTGACATTGTTGGATGCAGTCTAGCTACATTTCATAGGCTACTTGAGTTGTGGGTGTGAGCCTTTACAAAGCACAACAGAGCCCTGGGAAAAAAGACCTTGACTAGGTGGACCATCTGGGCAAACTAAAGTTAATGAAACATCTTGGTTATTGATGAGAGACAAAAGGTCTGTAACTGAATAAAAGGAGAAAAGAGCATAAGGTCGTATCCATTACAGAGGTGATGCTCTGATAGTCTCGCCCGGAGAAGTGTATTTCAGCTCTCTGTACTGGACAAGTGCTGTATGGACTGACTATTGGATAAGAGATAGCTTATTAGTAAGGAAATGAACTTCGTTAATAGGTGTAGGCTCTGCATGGTGTTTTATATAAATATTTTTATCTGTAACTATTTCCAATCCTTATACACCTGAACTGCCATACACTGGGTGTCCCTAATCCTGGAACAACTGTGTTATGGAACCTGGCAAGGAGAAGAGGTGGCAGCTCTGCACACTGTCGCATCTCCTCCCACACAGCTGGGGTGAATGGTAGTGCAGTGACATGCTTCCCCTGAGGTTTTTCCAGCAGTGCCCAGGAGCGGTATGAGGCATGGAGCCATGTGTGCCACTGAAAGTAGGGGGCCAGGTAAGCTTCCTAGCCCCAAACCCTCTCATGCCCAGACCCTGCAGCACCCTCCCTGGCTCAGTAAATTCTTTAATCCAGCATATGCTGTTTGCCAGATTAAAGAGGGTCGTTTGTTTACTTCTGTTTGAATTTTTTTCTGCAGCTTTGACAAACAAATTTCTGTTTTGCCTTTGCTATGTATGTAAGGACATAAGAATAGACATACTGGGTCAGAGCAAAGGTCCATCTAGCCCAGTATCCTGCCCTCCAACAGTGCCCCAGAAGGAATGAACAGAACAGGTAATCAAGTGATCCTTTCCCTGTCACTCATTCCCAGCTTCTGACAAATGTGGGTAAGTGCTGCATACAATGGAGAATGCTCAATTAAGGTGAAGCTACTGAACTTAGGGCACTGTTTCCACACAGGCTATCTATCTTTGTGCATTACAGGTGCCCAGAAATTGAGGGATTGGGCACTTGAATGTCACAAGGAGGAGTGAATTGATAGGAGGGCCCTGTGCTCTGGCCCCAGAACAGAACTTGTGAGGCTAATTATCTCACTAGATTTAGCCACAGGTTGTCTGCTCTGCTCTATGGATTCAGGGAGTTTGAGGGCTGAGATGCAAGCATTGCTAACCTGCAGAGGGATAGAGCAGGACTTGTGGAGCCCAGAATAGTTTTGAGTGAGTGGGCACAGAGAAACCTTGCTGTAAGTCATCTGTAGTGGTTCATCCTGTACCTCTTGGGAACCCTGAAAGTATAAGGGTATGTCTAGACTAAGTTTTACTTTAGAAAGAAGATATATGTATTTGGCGGGAATTTGCATATCTTCTTCCGATTGCTTTTTTAAAAGATTTTTTTTAGAAAAAGCAAGCAGTTTTGAGTGAGTGGGCACAGAGAAACCTTGCTGTAAGTCATCTGTAGTGGTTCATCCTGTACCTCTTGGGAACCCTGAAAGTATAAGGGTATGTCTAGACTAAGTTTTACTTTAGAAAGAAGATATATGTATTTGGCGGGAATTTGCATATCTTCTTCCGATTGCTTTTTTAAAAGATTTTTTTTAGAAAAAGCAAGCAGTCTAGATGCGGTTCTTTCAAGAAAAAGGGGCTTTTTTCCCCAAAAGAACCTGTAAACCTCAATTTTTGAGGAAGAAGGCTCTTTCGATGAGGTGTACAGGGTTCTTTTGAAAAAGGGGGGGTCTTTAAAAAAAGCCATCTAAACTGCTTTCACATTCGAACAAAAACGCTTTTGAAAAAGCAATCTGAAGAAGATATGCAAATTAGTGCCAAATTTGCATATCTCCTTTCGAAAGTAAAACGTAGTCTAGATGTACCCTTAGTGTGGATAAGTGCAAACTGGCTGATGTACTTCTTGGGTAAGATTGAGTTCAGTTTGGGGGAAAATACAGAGAGACTGAATATATGCTCTTATTTGCCTTGTGATGCTCAAGTTTAAAATATAGGAGTCCT